ACACTATAATAATATACTAATATAGCACTTGTAAATTATTGCTCTTTTGTTGGTTTTGGTTGCTTCTGTTGTCCTCATTTGTTAGTCGCTTTGGATAAAAGCGTTTGCTAAATAACAAAATTTAAATATAATGTTAATGTAAATAACAAAACTAAATTGACATTTTAAAACAAGCCCCAAATCAAATAAAGAAGTAACACAAATAAAATAAATCTCTTCATATAAACAAACTAAGGCTTTGTCTGTGCTCTTTCCATCTAAAATTAGAGGCAACCACTGCATTTTAATCATGATCCAAACAAAGATGCTGTATACATGCAACATGAGCAGTTTTTAATCTAAATTACATTGTATAATTTTGAAATTTGAAGCAAAAACAGAATGGTTTGACTTCAGTTTTGTGAAACTATGCATAAAAAATATCTCCATGAAACCGAAACAGCAGAAGCGCTGAATGAGACGCAGATTCACTCTCTGCCAGCAGGTGGCGCTTAAACGTGTTTCCTTGGTTTCCGCTGTAAACAAAGCATTTATGAACTTTATGCACTTATGAACTTTAATATGCATTATACAGAGGCAAGAGGAAAAGAAAAAATGCCATCTAAACTTTTCGAAAGACAGTAAGTTCCCCTCAGACATACATTCATATAAACTCCTCCTAACTCCTATTTAAATAGATTTTCAACCGGCTCGTGGTTAATCGTTACATCCCTATTCAGAACAGAACAAGAATGAAAAATAAGTAGTTATAAAATTATATTTTAAACTATAAAATAAAACACAAATTAGGCTTTAGTGGCATTCATTATAAACAGCATGCAAATGTCAAACAAAACTGAAACGGCATTGGGCTCACGAGCCTGTCTCATACCAAAATAATCCAAATGTTTCCATTTTTGCCATATTTGTTTGCATAGCTATTATTCATTATGTAGCCTAAACATGGCTTTATACTTCAGTCATGTTCTAATATCCGTGTAAAATCCTTCACATGCACAAAAATATTTGTTTGGGCTCTGCACGCTGATTTTACAGCGGACCTTTTAAAATAAACAGTGTAACTTTTATGTTTGGTTGACTGCATTTTAGTTTGATGATGAATGGCTGAAATTTCAGGCAACGGTAGAACTAATGTTGTTTGTGTGTGCGTGAGGCGCCTGTGCGATCAGATGGATTAAATCAAATAAAGAAATAAAGTGCATTAAGAGTGTCATAAAAACGAGCGTAGCCTATACTTGTTGCACAGTGGTTTTTTCCCCTTATGTTAATCTGTTAATTATATTATAGCCTATTATATATTTTGTGTGATCCTATTTATAGACTTTTTCTTTATAGATTCCTTTTATAGACTTCATTTTTGTTTTTCTCCTTTCACAGAAGCGCTGCAGGTGCATGATGCGACGATTGGATCCTCATGGTCTTGTTTACGCTGCTATTCACGCATATAAAGCCCTTTACAAAACAACAACAAAAAAAGACATTCTAATCTTACTGGTTAACGATCGACTAATGAGCTTCGTTTGACAGTCAGGAATATAAAAATGAACATTCATTCTACAATTCTCCTCCGTATTTACTATGCTGCACGCAAGTTCAGGTAACTCAAAAACTTGCGTACACGAGCTAAGACCAGACGTGAGATTTGATCGTAGCTACCACTCACGTCCATATTGATTAATTCCAAGTTTTACGTTGAAACGACCGTATGCCCAATTTTCTGTCGTACGTTCGTTTCGTAAATGAGGCCCATTGAATAGATAACAAAAGAATGGGTATCAAATCTCAATCCATTTTCTGGGCAAGACTCTACTGAGTTATACAGTTCTATAGTAATAGTTTATAGTAATTATTCTTGAAGCAAAATAGTTCAGGGTTACTGTTTCCAGTACAGTGAATTAAAAAAAGTGACTGTCACACAACTTTTTTCTGTCATTTTGAGATGTAAACTCACATTTGTGAAGTTAGAATTGTGAGAAATAGTCACAATTATCTTTTTTTTCTAGTTTGATGAAAATGGGCTTCTGCTGCTTTTTATTTGCATGCATAACATGATAGCCAACCCATTGTCATTTTTTTAAAACATACCTTTGCCCATATAACTATTAGGAATCAATGGTAGTCATTATGCGATAGGTGGAAGGAGATATGGGTGTCATTTGCATAGCTATGGTAAGCAATTTGGTTATTTCTCATTATTTTGCTATATAATATGTGACTATATGCAGGACTCTGCATATCTTGGATATACGCTTAAACTTATGGTTGACTATGCTCACAAAGTAATCCCTTCTTTCTAAGTATGACCTGAACTAGGGCTGGACAATAATTCAATATCAATATGTATCGCGATATAATTTTTTTCAATAACGGTGATATGATTTTTAAACACATTTCCGATATTTCGGTATACATTACCAGTTTCCCATACATTTATTTATTTGTGCCGTTTGACTTCGTTGAATAAACATGAGCACTGCATGTTTCAAAATCATAACACGGCGCGGGTGTTTTATATGAATGTATCTCTGAAGGGAACTGACCGTCTTCAGAAAAGTTTCGATGGCATTTTCATTTGATCTGATAAAGTAGCATTCATGAGCGGAGCTGCTTTGATTACAGCCATTACTGGGGAAACCGCTAGTTTTATCACTCTAAAAGCGCCTCCTGCTGGCAGAGAATCAGTTTTCATTTTAAATAAGCCTGTCTCCAGCAAGGTTATTTTCGTAAACGAAAACTAAAACTAAGACGAAAACGATTGGTCAAAAAACGGTTCGTAAACTGAAATAAAATAAAAAAAAAATCAAAATAAATTGATGTGTGTCGGTTTAGGGAAATACTGGAAAATACCCGTAAATGGTGCATCATGCACGTGAGGTTATCTGACGGAGAGACGCAAAGCAGTTTGTTAATTTTTCATCTAGATTAAATCAAGATTTATCTAATAATTCCTTTTGCACCAAACTTCAAACCTTTAAAAATAAGCAGGTTTACATTTTTAACCCATCATTTTGATCGGATTTAAGTTATATTTAAGATTAACTTTAATCCTGTTGCACCATAACTTTAAACTCCGATTTAAATCTCAATTATGGATTAACTTTAAA